ATCATATATTTTTTATAAAAATATTTTAAATAGTTAAAGCTAAAATTAATATTTCAGATCTTAGATATTTTCAAAAAGTGGCAGGACAGTTAAAACATACATCACTGGGTATACATATAAATTTGTAATCAAAATACTTTTACTAGGTACAACTGATTTAATTATCATTTAAATAGTATATTTTACAAAAGCACCAGTATAACCAATAATCGAGGAGCAGTCACATGATTTTCTGACCTAAGACCCTCCAGAAAGTCTTCAAATTTTTTAAGTTTTTCACTGTTTTTGGAGAGAATTTGGTTTACAATTTTTTTTTTGTTTTTTTTTTAAATAGAAATGGTTACTAGTTATGACAAATATTGAAAAAAAAATTTGACTGCTGAATTATAGCAATGATAAATATATATGAATTTCGAATGATATCGCAAAGTGTAGGTAACGGATAAAACAATAAATAAATTCTAAAGAGAAAATATAAAATTAATACCAATAAACAATGCCAATTAAGTAATAGTGAACCATGTATTAAATTTTTGCAAAACAAAGACCAGTAAAAATATTCACTTCTAGAAAAAAAAAATTATATCATGTTTTTTCTTAAAGTTTGAATTTATTTTTAGTTTGTTTTGCTGTACAAATATGAATAGAAATATAGTTGACTCTTTTTACAGTGAACTAATAAAAATTTTTAAAAGTTCCTTATATAGTAATTTACTGTTTCTATAATAAATTGCTTTAAAAAATTCGTTCTAAGAAAGTTATAAAAACTCATATAAAAAAATTTGTTGAAAATGTTTGGTATAAAAAAAATTAGTTAAAAAAGTTCGGTATAAAAAAGTTTGTTGAAAAAGTTCGTTATAAAAATAATTCATTGAAAAAGTTCATTATAAAAATAATTCATTGAAAAAGTTCATTATAAGAAATTTCGATGAAAAAGAAATTCGTTGAAAAAGTTAAAGTTTGTTAAAATAATTTAAAAAGTTCGTAATAAAAAAAGTCTGTTGAAAACGTTGTTATAAGAAATTTCGATGAAAAAGTTCGTTATAAGAAAGTTCGTTGAAAAAGTTCAGTATAAAAAGTTTGTTATACCTAGAGTTAATAAATCGCATCATTAATATTGTGAGAGTTGATTGTACAGATAGAAAAACATCAGATCCGATAAAAACTAAGTGGATGGGAAATTATGTGACTGCTCCCTCGATTATTGGCGATGCTGGTGTTTTTTATATTCTACTATTTAGTTCATTCCGATTAGAGTTTAATAAGACATAAAACATTCTTTAATTTTTGAGAAATTTTTCAACAAATAATTTTTAAATATTGTGGTTAAAATCCCATTTTACATTACAAAATACCAAAAACTCACGATACAAGAAAGTTGGTAATAGCCTTTATTAATAACTTTGACCAATTTTCTAGTATCGGAAGGTTTATTGGTATTTCCTTAATCGAAATTTTTTTACATTGAAAAGTTACATGTATATAACCATATAATAAAAACCTTACAACATTTTATCTCAATTTACAAGACAAATATGAATGATAAACTAAATAAAATATTATTGAGCTTTGAAGTGTTTTCTTCCTCCATGATTGCCACGACCTCGACCTCGGCTATGACTTCGACTATGACCTCTTTTTCCACGCCCACTAGTTCCACCTCCTCTTCCTCTTCCTCTTCCTCTCCTTCCCCTATAATTATTAATACCTTTCCTTGCAAACCTTAAAGAATAAGGCAAGTTAACATCATAAAGTAAATGAAAAAAAAATATTAAAGTTAACCTACTTGTTTTCTAATAATTCAGCGATTTCATCTTCACATAAAATACATCCTTTTAAAGGTCTCTTATTTTGATTTTCTCGAAATTCAATTTTTAATAAACGAGAATTACATTCTTCAATTTCACAATATTCATCTTTTGATATGGAAACGCCTTTCAACAAAAAAAAAAAAAAAAGAGATTGTAGTTATAAAACTTGTAAATTATGAAAATGAGACAAAAAATTTTTTTGAACTTATTATATACCTTTAACCATATCTGTAAATACGGAAACGAAATTGCATACATTACAAGATAATTTCCACTTAGGTGCTGACGTTGCATCTAAGACCATTTTACCATTACATGAATTCCCTTGGCATGAACAGACACCATTATTAATTAATGAATGTTCACATGTAGGATGAGAACAGCGATTACATCCCATGCCTATAAAAATAATATATATTAATAAAAAAAAATTTTTTTGAAGACTTGACTTTTAATTCTAAATAAGATTAACTACCTTTTTTTATGTTTTCAAAAGGTGGGTTATTATAACAATTTGGACATAATGGATAGCCAATTTCCTTAGAACCAGTTGAAAATGATACAAGCCCAAAGCCGTCAAGTGGCTACATGAAAAAAGGGGAAAATTAACGTATGGTTTATTCGTAGAGTTTACAAGTTAATATTTACTTACACATTCAAGTCCTTTATAATCCTATAAAGTATAAAGTAAAATGAATAAAAAGTCCAAGGTAAAAATAACCAGCAAATAATAAAACGATAAATACCTTAATATTCCCGTTTGAAGGTAACGAATAAGTTTCGTTACAAGTTGAACAATGTAAACGTACAGGCCTTCATGAATTATAATAAAGAAAAGGTTAAAGACAACAATCATGATAATAAAATAAACAATTTAAATGTAATACATACTTTAACGCAATAAATTTCAAGTACCTTTAAAAAAAGAATAAAATAAAATAAATAAAAATTGAGAAAATAATAAACTCAACCGAATTTTAAAATACATACCGTTTACATTTCCCACATTTTGTAAGGATTTTTCCAGTTGAAGCAAGAGGTGAGAAGGTTGCTTCAAACAATTCATCCATTTTTGCGATCTAATAATTGAGTAAAGAGCAGTTAAATAGTATTTTTATTAATTTCACCAAATATATATATATATAATAATTATAAACAAACATTGTCTCTAAAGTATTTAAATTTTGCAGCGAACAAATTTAAACAATATTCCAACACTTCAGCTTGTCTAGCTCTACCTAGTGCTATGTAATTCAACTGTTTTTCAACATCGCTTCGCATTGTAGGTAGGGATAGTTCTGGGTCAATTTTTTCTGCATAAAAATTAATTGTGAAGTGCAAATATATATTTCAAGATAAAATGAAACTTTTTTTTAAATCAATAATAGAATTATGAAGGATACGATATCTATCATTATTTTTAAATAAAGTCAGAGAATAAAGAATTGCATTAATCAAATAAATGTTTAATCATAACAGGATCCAAAAAAAATATATAATCGCGTATTACCCATGAATCAAAACAATTCCTTAAAACAAACAAAAAATGAATTAGTAATTCTT